ATATCTGAAACGGTTATGGGTAAGATCATCTTTCATCTGTTTGAACGATTATCCGTTCAATTGACAAGAAAAACACATCAGAGAAGGCGTTGAAGAAGCTTGAGGAGATGTTTCAATCTCGGTCCCTTTCCAACAAGATCTACCTAAGGGAGAGTATTTTTGGGTTCAGGATGGATCATGCAAAGTCATTAGAAGCTAACTTAGACGAGTTCTTGAAGATGACGATCAAGCTTGCAATTTCTGACAACAAGGAAGAGCTCAACGACAAAAATAAATCAATCATTATTCTTAATTTTCTTTCAAAAGCATACAGGGTGGTGAAATCGGCAATCAAGTACGGCCGGTTATTGATCATCCTAGATGAAATGATATCCGCGCTCAAATCCAAAGACTTGGAAATCAAAATAGACAAGAATATCTTTGGTGATGGCAAAAATCACATGGTTTGTGGCCAACAGCAGCACAAGAACACAAATGGAAGCAATTTGAAGCCCAAGATTCACGACAAAGCATCTACAAAGAACAAAAAATAGAATCTCTACTCCAACGCCGACAAGAATTGCTTTTAATCCAACAAGATAGGTCACATCAAGAAGTATTGTTACTCATGAATTAAGAAGAACAAGTAAAATCAAACCAGTATATCACAAGATCACCAAGATTCATCAAACTTTGATGATGGTTACAACGATGGCAAAGTTTTCATGAAGTCATGAAATCTCAAGCCTCGGATTGGATACTTGACTCTAGTTGCACCTATCATATGACACACAACAAGCATTACCTGTCAAACTACCAAGAATTCCATGAAGGGAAGGTAATAATGAATAACAAACATTCTTCTTATGCTACTGGTATAGGATCTCTTAGCATCAAGATGGTAGATGGTGTTGTGAAAATTTTTGCAAGTGTTATACATGTACCTGAATTGTCTAAAAAACCTATCTCTATTGACTTTCTTCATGATTTGAATAATACTAAGAAGATTACAAAAGGTTTTATTGTTTTGAAGTATATCAAGATAACATGTTCATATTATCTCATTGGAGAGACAATCCTTGGAGATGTGTCAATTGTCACTATCTACAATGATTGCAAAGCTACATTTTGGCACCAAAATCTTGGCCATATTAGTGAGAAGGGTCTACAATTGATGAGCAACCAGAATTGCTAGGAATGTACAAAGTCAGCAAACTTGATTTGTACGAGCATTGCATTTTGGCAAAACAACACAGGCAGAAATTCCCAACCAAAAAACACAAGTCTACACAAGTTCTTGAGTACATTCATTAAGATTTGCAAGAATGTCAAGTTCACCAACGCATGGTGGTTATTTCTATTTCTTATCTATCATTGATGACTTCTCTAGAAAAGTTTGTATATATTTGTTAAAACACAAAAATTAGAATTCTAAAAATTTAAGGAATGAAAAATTTTGATTTAGAATTTTGATTAATAAAAAAGTTAAGACTTTAAAAACATATAATGCTCTTGAAGTTTGTAATTCTAAGTTCGATCATTTTTGTGCCAATGAGAATATTCAAAGATCTAAAACGGTGAGACTAATTCTTCAAGAAGATGGAATTGCTTAAAGAATGACAAGAAGCATGCTATTCAATTCCGGGTTGTCTAAGGTTTTTTGGGATGATGCAATGATCATCATTGCATATCTTGTGAAAAAATGCTCTTGAGTGTAAAGATGCTATGTGAAAAGTGCCATTGAGTTCAAGACACTAGAAGAAAAGTGGAGTTCAAGGCTAGTTGATGTCAATCATTTGAAAGTTTTTGGATGCTCTGCCTATGTTCATCAAAGTCAAGTAAAATTGGAGCCAGAGCCATCACATGCATGTTCCTTGGCTATCCGCAAGGAACAAAGAGTTATCAATTGTGAGTAAGGGAAGGAAATGGTTTCAAAATTATCAATAGCTTTATATACAGAGACATGATATTTAATGAGACTATTTTTCCTTATCAATCATGTGTTGATCCAAGTTCTATTTTTGCGAGTGTCAGTAACGTGCATAAACCTTAGAGAACATTTTTCAAGTGGAGCCAGTTGTTCATGTTACTCCTCCACGAGTCCAAGGTCAAAGCACCTTGAGTGATCATGAAGTTCAGTACATACAAGTTCCATATCATGTCACTAAACTAAGTGATGAAATTGGTCAGGATTAAAACAACTGCAAGCAAGAGGTAACAAGCCACAACAGCTCAGAGCAATCTCAACAATAACATGACTTCTTTTTCACTATGGACAAAAAAAATGTCAAGGGCTACACAAAGATATGGCTTCTCCACGTACTTTGAGATCCTTGTCTACGCGTTCACATCAGCCTTGAAGATTAAAATGAAGAATTCCTCTACTATCAAGATGTTGTTGGATTAGACTCAGAAAAATGGAAGGAAGCCATGAGAGATGAAATAGAATCGTTGTACATGAACAAAACTTGGATCATGGTTCCAAGACCTAAAGATCCAAAGTAAGTGATGTGTCGATGGTTTTACAAGAAAAAAGAAGTCGTGGTTAGTTCTAACAAGCCTCGGTGGAAAGTCAGACTAGTGACAAAAGACTTCACACAAGTTGAGGGAATCTAGTATAATGAAATTTTCTCACTTGTGGTGAAGTACAAGACCATAAGAATTATTCTTGCGCTCGTGTTCCAATGTAATTTGGAATCACAACAAATGGACGTGGAATCAACGTATTTTCACGACAACCTGGAAGAAGTGATTTACATGGAGCAGCCACCAGAATACGAAGTGCATAAAGTCAAAGACATGATGTGTTTACTAAAGAAATTGCTGTATGTTTTGAAGCAATCACCGCATCAATGATATGAGTGTTTCGACACATTCATGCATGAGCAAAGATACAACAAGAGTTCCAATGAGGCATGCTTGTATTTCAAAGAAATTGAAGTATTGAAAAACATCTATCTACTCTTGTATGTACATAATATGTTATTGATCAACAGCTCAACCTAAAAGTGTCAGAACTCTAGAATATATAAGTGTTTCGACACATTCATGCATGAGCAAAGATACAACAAGAGTTCCTATGAGGCATGTTTGTATTTCAAAGAAATTGAAGTATTGAAAAATATCTATCTCCTCTTGTATGTAAATAATATGTTATTGATTAGCAGCTCAACTTCAAAGTGTTAGAACTCTAGAATATTTTGAGCAAAGAATTAGATATGAAAGATTTAGTTGATTCTACAAGAATCCTTGGAATTAGCATCAACAGAGACAAGAGAAATGATTCATTGGCATTGTCACAGCGTGGTTATTTGGAGAAGCTAGTTGACAAATTTGCCATGAGAAATGCAAAGCCAATGATTCAACCTTTGATAAATCATTTCAAACTTTCTGCAAATCAATGCTCTATGTCAACATTAGCAAAGCAAACCACGGAAGATGTTCCATATTCCAATAGAGTTGACTCTGTTATGTACATTATGGTGTATAATGTACCTAATATTGACCGAATATTGCCTGTGCCATTAGTGTTCTTAGCATTTACACGTCAAATCTTGGCAAGGAACATTGACTAGCTATGAAACATCTTCTTAGATATTTGAGAGTCAACAATTTTGATGTGGATTTCATGTATTACAAGAGAATTAGTTCAGTTCTGGTGGAGATATATGTAGATTCTGATTACACATGGATAAAGACAACATGAAATCTACTACAACTCATCAATTCTTGATATCGGCAATTGCATGAACTGGAAGTCGATGTTACAACCTGTTATAACTTTGTCCACAATAGAGTCAAAGTATATTGCTGCCATTGAGGCAGTGAAGTAGGCACATGGATTCAAAGCCTGCTAGAGGAGTTACATGTGTTTCAAGGTACAATAACATTCTTCTCCTGTAGTTAGAGTGCAATCCATCTGTGCGAGAATTTGGTGTTCCACGATAGAACAAAGCATATTGAACTCAAGTATCATTTCATTAGAGAAAAAATCACCGATAACGACATCAACATTGCAAAAATCAACATTGATGACAAGCCGACAATGGCACAAAAGTGTAACTTTGGGGAAGTTTCGATCATGTCTAAAGGATCTCAGAGTTGATGCAATGTGATTGAACAAAATCGAACAATGAATCAATGAAGAACGAGTACCAAATTTGAGTACATGTGATGAAGATCAAAATTGAAGACTGAGGTGTAGATTGTGAAATATCAACTTCAGTCTCATGTATTTATTGTTTAGTAATCAGCTTGCCAATTTGTCAATATACTATGGACAATTGACGACTTTGATTCATTCAAATATTATTTTTTTATAAATAAGTGTGATTTAGAGTTACTTGGCGTATTAAAGGATTTATTATAGTTAAATGATTTCAAAAAAAGTCAAAAAGATAATGAAAATTGAAAAACACATTGAAAGAGAGAATTATATATGAGAAAAGGTTTGTCTTGCTCAGAAACAGATGTGATTGAATTTGTGTATATTTCTCATCGGACTAAATTCCGGTGAGAAAGATAAATCCGATGACATTGATCTCGATTATAAACTCAAACTACCTCCATCGAAGAATCCATGAGTACTAGACTTTCAGGCTCAACCATCACGAGTAATAGACTTTCAAACTCAACCTCGTCAACAAATTCTGTGTGTTAACTATGATTTCTATTGGTTTTGGGTATGAAATTCCCTACAACAACATTTGGTTACAGTTTACTGTTAGAGGTACGAACCACAACGTATGTAATGGTCGATGACAGCAGGCCTTAAACGACGAAACTATTTCGGTGCTATCACATTCTTTCCATTCTTTATCATAGAGAAGGCATTCTTCATAGCATGCTCCCTCTTACATAAATTGGTTCTAGTCGGTATGTTGAAACAGATTGGTTTGTGCGATGCCTTCTACAATGCACGATTGTTATTCTTCTGTTTTCTTCGTCATGAAATTATCAGCTAACATTTTTAAACTGTATAGATGAGAGGAATAATCAATATATAGATAAGTGTGAAGTGTCCTCGTATGCAGATCACTCAAGTGTGAGAAGACTGTGTTCAAGCTCATGTTTACAGACAAGAGATTACTGTAGTTAATCTATCAAGGGTAACACAGCAATCACCTCAGGTTTAGACGAGTAAGGTTCTTCTGAGAGTAGAAAGAACTTTGATTGGTTTCTATTACGTACTGGAAGCTAACCACTTTCAATACATTCAGATCCTCTGTTCCAGACGTTGAAAGACAACCTAGTAGAACGACCATTCCATGTACATCAGAATGGATTATGACAATAACGTCCTCATCCTCTCATTCATTACATTGAATTTCCCAATATCTCATGGGCTGGTCCTTACCGGATATCGTTTGGACATTGCGCTGTAACAAAACGATGACCCTAGAAACTGATGTTAGGCCTACAGGTAGCTTTCTTCACGCCCGTCATCCTCTTGAACTCTGCAGTTCCTGGATCAGGAAGTTTCCGACCGACGAGGCCAAATGCTCAGATTTTATAGCACCTGTATCCATCCTCAGGATCAACCATTCCCTCCGCCCAGTCGCCCAATTTTTGGCCTCCGAACACAAGTTGCTTGATTCCAACGTGACTGATGAGAGAGAGCACAGCGCACCAGGACAAACTTATTAGACACCACAGACAAAGTAATAAACGCAACAAAGAGCATCCAATAGTATCACCATTTAGTACTCGTATTCTCAATTGTGCTCAAAACGTACAAAGAGATGCCGACTTCTCCTATAAGAGTCGAATACCTTACAAAGAACGGAGAAAAAAACCGATCTGAGGATACAGAAGGAAACTTACTCCGAACTGACTGCAGAAAATGCATTGATAAGCACGTCCATCGCTACAGGATCAGATGTTCCAAAATCGACCCTGCCCACATTACAAACAAGAGGCAATGACATATAAGCAAAGACGGGTAGATCATTCACTCAACTCTACAGGAAAAAATACCAGCCCAAAGTTGATGAATAACCTGGTAAGCAGATGCTTCCACCCAAGATCAGACATATCGAAACTGCTGCAGCAGAATGTTGTAGGCTTACTTTTTTGGCAGCAAATGGAAAAGACGTAAACTAAGACCTACTATTTCTCAGTTCCGGTCTGTACGACTTTGCACAAAGCGTGGAGTAAGAGAAGTGGCGTACCAAAAACGCCCCCAATTGTCTTGAAACTCGAGATCTCCTATATTGTGGAATGCAGATGGTAGCGCCTCAGCAGCTCTGTCATTACTGTAACTCAGCCTTGCATCGATTGGCAGCTGCGTCAACTGCGGTACAAGAATGGCAATCAAATCTGAGCAAATCTACAATGATGTCATAAACTGCTGCTAGTAGATTTTAAGGAGAATTCAAATATATCTCCTGACTTTCACTAACTGAAAGCTAAATTTTACAAAAGTACCGCGCAAATCAGTTGGAAGACATGAAACCCACAAATATGGGCACAAAGTAATATAATTAATAAACCCTGAAAGGCAAGCATAGATCGCACCAAAAGATTCCAACAGATCAGCACAAAATTGCACAGAAAATCTTGTAACCGGTTGGAACTAGTCCGGGTTAACTTAGAAACGACCGCATAGATCTTCCTATCGGATACCTAGATCTGGAGATATCCTTTTTTTGAAGGCACAAACGATTATCGCACCTGCATGTTCATTGAATTGAATGCCCCCAATCGGCCCAGGAGATACCAAGACCTCAATACCTGTAGAATCAAACCAACAAAAAGTCACACATCTACCAATTGGGTGAGCCCAGAGAAGTGAACATAGCCGATCTCTCGACATCAAAAAATGTAACGTTTGAGCTTCTCAAGCGCAAAGTCTACGGCATGACAAATGCACTGTACAAAATCTCAACCAGCAAATGTGGACCATGATGAGAATCAACAAATCCGTTCGTATTCTTATGCTTCATTTGATGGAATGAAGATCAAAACTCACACTGCCGATGGTTTCCAAATCCTTGTCGGAGGGGGATCCAAACAGCTCCAACCACACATGGGCGTCCGTTGCATCAAAACTGGCAGAAACATGCAGACTTCAGTGTAATGCTTTCATGTCTTATCTTCCTTGCCTTCAAAGTTGCTAGCCTTATCCCGGGTCCCGTAAATCATGAAGAAAAACTTTTCTCGTACTTCAGGGTATTTACGAAGGCAACTCTTCAGCATTACAGTACTTATAACCAGGCGCATTAACTGAAAACTCCCTCACTACGTGCTATTTCAGATTTGGCTACAGGAGAAGCGATGATTCTGACATACATGTACATTAACTGAGAGTTCTCCCGTACTTACTCGGCTTTGAATGTAACAGTCATCGGTATGGCTGATCCTGTAACAGGACTTAAAATGTCTCGTCCTTTCCTCCTCACCCTCTCCTCTACCTGCAAAAATATTCTAGTTACACAGAAGCCCCAAGATGACTATGACGACAGGCGAGGCAGAGCACATACTTTCGTTTTTTCCTTCAAAATAGAAATTGGAGAAGATTCCCGAGAAGAAATCATTCAAGATGATCAAACTCCATAGTATGTACTCTTGACAGCAGAACCTGCCACGAATAAGAGTCCGTGTGCGTGCGGAAGTCACATCAAGATAAAAGGCACGATGGCTCAAGAGCTCTACCCTCTTACGCATTTCCTCCGGATTGCCAAAACTGTCGCCAATAATTTCGCGAAGCTCGACGTCGTCCTTGCACGCATCCTCTAAAATTCTGTGTATCAAAGATAACACACTATAAATTCGTTCTCACCGGATTGAGATCAACGATCAGGGGGTACTGTTGTTCGAATTCGAGAAACAAACAGGAGTGGTCATGAAACTGTCGAAGAAAAACTAGAGAAGGAAGACGACAGAGATGACCACCATGAATATTCTTAAAAAAAAAAACGCAAACAAAAGCCTTCTGTGACCTTCGGAGCTAGACCACCACTAGAATCTCTGTGCAAGATTCTTGCATCCCTTGAATTCGGACGAATTCGACGAATTCAATAATTCACGAACTTTCAAATTAAAGACGAACACTCGAGAAGAGGAGAAAATCGTATCGTACGTCGCCCATTCGGGATATTGAGCTCGACCTTGCCCTTCCTTGCGCCTCTTCTCCTCTTGGGCTTTATTCAGCCGCCTCTCCCTGGCACCGGATTTACTGCCTACCACTATACTCGTTTTCTCTGCCCTGCCATTACTTGCACCGCTCACATTGCTGCCACTACTGCCACTACTACTACTCGCCTCCACAGCAACGAAGCATCTGCCTGGCTTTCTTCGCGCACCGGAATTGAAATTCACGCAGTCAAAATTGCACGTCCCCTCGAGCGGGAACCCCTCACGACCGAAACTGCTCGAACAACTCCTCCCAGAACAAGGAGCTGTAAAACAGGACCCTAGATTGCAGACCAGGTCACTGCCGCGAACTGAGCTCAAAACTCCAGCCATCGTTCCCAGGCTCATCACAACATCATCGTACACAGCTCAGAATGCACACCTTCTGTGCTCTGCATCACCCCTCTGCGCTTTCAAATCCGCCCAGACATTTACGACGATTCTCCCCACGGCATAGTCTACAGCTGAATCGTTCGTTCCAGCAGCTAGAAATTCAGAAGAGTGCAGATGGTCCCCGGACACTCGGGATTCAGCTCTGCTACTGCTGCTGCGGACCACGAAGAAGCACAGACAGGACAGTGTTACCCCTCGCCTGCCTTTGTCTCTTCTCCGCCTCCTCGGAAACGCTCCTTCGCAGTTGACCGCTGTTTACCGTGCCTACGTATCCCCGCCCCGACCTCCGTAGCGTAGAGTCCGTGGATCTGGCCGCCGTCGGTGTCATCCGACGGCCGTCATCCTTCCGTGCTAACCCTGGGTTCGAACGGTTCCCTTCCGAGGCGACGGTGACGGAGAGCTCTCTTGTTACCACGCAGGATAAGATGAAAGGAAAATTCCGGCGAATACGCTACTGACACGTCCTTGTGAAGGTGCGGAGGTGGAAACGCTCTCCGGCCACGTCGTCGTGTTGTTTTGACCACGTAGGATGGTTTCAACTGCAGTTCGCGTCTTGGCTCTTGCTCGTCGTTGTTCTCGGATAACCGTTAGCATGCGGGAATCTTGTTGCGGGGTGAGGCTCGGTTTGGTGCGATGTGAAGGAATAAGTGGAATTAGATTCGTTAATTTGATTAGATTAGAGGAATTGGAATACTTGATTTTAAATAAAAGGAAGAAGAAAATGCAGACCTTTTCCATTCGGATTCCAGCTGAATTTCTGGGTCATGATATGCGAGGGAAGCTTGCCATGTCAAAAGAAAAGTGGGTTTTAACTTCTAAGCCAGATGAGAGGAATCTTCGTGTAAAAAGATGTGTCAACGTATCCAGTATAATACACAGGTGATAAAATGTAAAGGATTAGCATACTCTAAGCAACAATTTCAAAAAAATTCCAAAATTGAAATAAGTAAACTTATTCTTATTATTGTGTCTCAAATATCTACCTTTTATGAATGAAATTTAATTTTGTTATCCCAAGTAAGCAATATGGTGACTTCTTACCGTACTCTTTATATATATATTCTCAAATTTACGCAATTGTCTGTTGTGATAAACCACATCTCTCGATCGACGTATAACGGAACTTTTGAAACTAAGATGTTCTTGTTCATTCATATTTAAATAACTTCAAAATGAATTAAAATTTTTAAATCATGATAATTTTGTACAAAAACAACTCATTTCAGCAACACATTTCAGCAAATGATATCTATTGCATGGTTTGAAAATGAATTTCAAACTAGCACTGATTGTAAAGGTGAAGTGGCCTAATCAAACTATACCAAGAAAGCTTAGTGTTATGAAATATGTATTTTGTTCCTTTCTTGATATAAATCGTTTTAAAATCAGCTTTACTATTTTAGAAAATGTGAATTTCTACCTATTTTTGAGTATGAAAATTTTTATAATCATGAAAAGTATATAAGAAATTCCATGTGAGAATGAGTTCAGTAAGTTATTAGGTTGGATTTATTTGAACGCTGCAGAAATGTAGTTTTTGGGCGACTTTCTTGGTCAGTCTATGATCTCATTTATATTCCAAGTGATATTAATCAGGCTATGTCATATCTTGATCGAAATAATCATCGTAGCCGCTATGATGATCTACATGTACATGATTTGCTCTAATTTACATTTTCTAATTAGGCGTGAATTATTTACCCCAAGCTTTTGATGGTCTCAAAATTGAGACCGAGATCATCGACAAAACATGAATTTTATTCAAAGATACTTAACATCCAAAATAAGAACCTATATAAATAACTGAAGTGATTCTCTCACAGAAAAATAATTACGGACCAGATAAAAACCCTCATAAATGAATGAAAGAAGTATATGAAAACCAACTGGTATATATAGTAGTACAGAAAATTAGAAAAAGCTTTCTGCACTCCTCCTTAGTCAAATACCTTTGCTGAAATGCTTACTTCTACCACTTCTGATGTGGAGGAAGAAAAGATGATTGGATTCTTCCTCTCACATAAATTCTCGGTCTCCCTGCCCATGTACTCAACCAATGACCCAGCGCAAAGAATCGACGTAAGATTGATTGTCATCGATTACGTCGGCATGGTCTTGAGTACAAAGATTCCGTTCCGTTCCGAAGGCCATTCACCTAAGACAATGGTTGGGTAAATATTTTGGCGCGTAATTCCAGAGTCGATCCAAAGGCTTGGCTTCGCAATTTTATTGTCTTGCCAATTTTAGGCCTGTTTTGTTCGAGCGTCATAAATTGCGGAATCCAGGAATCGCGAAAGTATGGAAAGGTGGCGCGATTGTTTATGTTGGTTGGCATTCCGAGAGGGGAGGGAGGGCGGACGAGGTGGTGAGATCGCGAGTGGCGAGGGGCAGAGTGGCAGCGCGGTGGTGCTGATGAAGGCGAGGGCTCGGATGGGTCCGGCGGAGGGACTACTGAAGACGGGTCGGGGGCTCGGGGTCGAGGGCGAGGGCGAGGTCGACGTGGCGAGCTCGCATCCCTAATCCGTCTCGTGGCGGGGCGGACGAATTTCTTTGCTCGGGTCTGGAACAGCAGACCTCGACCTCGAGCATAACAAACAGCAGCACTGCAGTGAGTGCAGTGCACTGACTCGCCACGGGATTGTGGCGTCGATTCATTCTCGCAGAGCAGAGCGGTCAAAGGTGTGCGATGGTGGTGGTGGTGGAGGAGGAGGAGGAGAGAGTTAGGTGAGGACGATGTGTTCTTCTCGTGAACACGAAGATCTACGCTCCGGATGCATCTGAAAATTGTGCTCGCCTTGGCTTTGGGGTTTTCTACCGTCTGGTCTGGCGCAGGTTGCTGGCCTCTCAGGACTACAGATTTGCCGGTAGCTGGGGGTTTCTCAACGGAACTGCGCATGTGGAATCCGAAATAGATGAAAATTGGGAGGATTGGCCGATTCCTTGGTCTTCTGTCAATCGGGGGCAGTTGATGAAGGAGCGAGCGCTGTCTGACAATGAGCGCGGTGATTTTTCAGGGATTTCCCGTTTGATTGTTACTATTTCAGGAGGTGGGTAGTGGTGGTCGTTTGTGATGTAATGTCCTGGTGAGGTGACACATCGTCGACCGTTCTGAAGATGAGAGAAGGAACAATAACTTTCTATTCGTCAGACAGCGAGGAGGTGGAGATCTGATATTGGAATCGTTTGCGGAATTGGTTCACCATGGATCCGAAGGCTTTGCTAGATGAGTTAATGGGAAAGGATCGGGACTTGCCCTTGGACCAGCAAAAGAAGAAGAAGCTACGTTTTGACGATCCTGAGGTTAGTAGCAATCACCTTCCGTTCTTATCGTTGATTGCTTTCAGCATGTTTAATTAGAAGTGCAAAATGTCATGCAGGGTCATAGTGTTCTGTTCCTCACTTTCGGAATTGGCTGGGAAGCCGTCAGTTATTGCTTTGCAACTGTTGCTTATGTGTTTGGAATGCGTTTAGTTCTATCTTTCAAGGTTTCGAAGGAGAGCCTCGAAAACTTAACAACGCTTGTCTAGGGTTCTCTACAAGTACCCTTCCAATTGACGCACAGGAGATATCGAAGTTTCTGTTATCGAAGTTTCTATAGTCCTTGACAGTACAGCGTCCATCTCCTTCATACAGCCACACACCTTATTCTGCATAATAATAAAAAAGTAGACTTTCAATCTAAAAATAGAATTCATATATCCGAAGTGAAGCAGACAATCCAAAAATTAAACAAAATGCCACTTCCTCTGGATATGAAGATTCCAATGGTTGGACTCCGCCATATATGCTCCTTCTCCACGATAGGCACAATGATTACTATGATCATATCATCTATATGGTGCATGTTCAATCTGTAACACTACCAATCATAATGCTCACACTTTTGACTGGAGCGTACCACTGCTGTTGTGACTTGTTTGTATGTCGTAATATTCAGATGGTTGGGATTGTTTGAAAGATTAAAGTCTTTGAAGGCAAGGGCTTTACCTACAGAAGACCCAATGACAGATGTCCTTATTTTTGGGACTTGTTCTCTAATACGTATCTCACTATTTTCAATTTTGATTTGCAGGTGTGTCATTTTCATTTGGTCTCCTTTTGTCCTCATGACCTGTTTCCAAATACTAAGAGTGACCTCGGTGCTTGTGAGAAAATTCACGATGATGCACTTAGAGCTGAATTCATCAAATCGAATAGAGTATCGCAATATGAAGCGGAGTTCCTAGGATATCTGGAGCGACTGATTGCTGACCTTGAGAGGTGAGTCAATGCAGTCTGACCTGGAGTATATCGTACTCCTGCATCTCACATCTCGGAAATTATTGAGGTGGAAGCCTTTTTGGCTTTCTGAAAATATATGATGCGTATTGGGCGTTACCTGGAGTTGGACAAATGGTCTCTAAGACAGAAATGTTCTTTCATTTAGTTGAATTGGTCATTCATTCTGAAAGTATTGTAGATATCAAACACTGGATCATGAGTCGCAGAAATTTTTTTGTCACATCGAGATATAAGTCTAGTTTTTGATACATCTATAGATATGTCAGTCATGCTCACACTGTGATGTGTTGTTTTATGGGTTACAACAGTCTCAACGCAGATTATTTCATCTTCAATGCTCACTTTTGCATGTGATATGACGTGTGCATATTAACATGAAGTTTTTTACATAACTGGTCAAAAATTAAAGTTGCATGTTCTACTCCTCAATGCAGAAAGATCAAGAGGTGCCATGAGCGATTGGACAAGGAGATGCCTCTAACTGAACATGCCCGAGCTAACAGTGACCGTATATCAGCCATTGCTATGGAAGTACAAGTATTGCTGAAACAAGCTGAACGAGAAGGAGAAGACGGTTTGGTTGATCAAGCTCAGGCCACAATGAACAAGGTACGTATACGGCTCTATGAATGACAGGTAACTTATGGATTATTTGTCATTCTGCATATTCATCTCTATATCTGTCCCGTCGCTGGTCTTTCTTCGTTGGTTTGACCGGTTTTCGGGTGACTGATGGAGATGAGTAAGGGTTGTGGGTTTCCAAAAACCTCTCAAAGAACAGCTTCCGTGGTTTGAGTTGAATACAGAGCTCTGGTGAAAAACGCGGGTGATGATGAATGTGGTGTCACCATGAACTTTGCAAACTTTAGACATGTGTGGCCTACGTTTCGTCCTTGCAGATAAGGCGGGGTAGGTCGTGATGTGGTGATTAAGCTAACCTGCAAAACAGCGTGGCAAGGTAGCTGCCTGTCTTCTGAAATAACACTCTTGCTGTTTACCAAGTTCAACTGTATAGTTGTGCAATTTTACAGCTGGACGGCTGACTGGGGATGGTTTGTCAGGTGGACCTTTTGAATAAAGAGAAGGATCAGCTTGTGCGAGCGGTTATGCCCGAGTTCGGCAACATACTGGAGAAGGAGAAACGCATGCAAGTCTGTGAAGTATGTGGAGCGATGCAAGCTTCTACTGATACAGAAAAGCGCCTGGCAAGTCACTTGGAGGGCAAACAACATCTGGTACTAAGCTGGAAATGTTACCTGCTCGCTATCGAATGACGTAGTAATTTAAACATTTTTGTCTTTTCTTAGTATTTGTCCTAGATTCCTATCACATATTATCTTTCGGGCCAATATTGCGTTTCTTCACTGCACACACATTAAACCCTTTGAATTGTTTTGGTGCTACATTTGGTACCCTGTAGTCATTACATCTTTGACTTGGATTTGTTTTATATGTGATTGTTCAGTTGCATAGCGCGTACAACATGCTTCAATATCATCTCTTCATTATGATGCGAGAACCACACATCTCTTGGGTTTTCTGGTGAACCCAATCTCTCTTGGGTTCTCACAGTTTGAGCTGTATCTTCGGTTCTCAGGGATACTTCAGGATCAGACAAACAGCCGACCAGTTGAGAAAGAAGAAGGAAGAAGAACGAGAAGCGAGACGCAAAGAAAGAGAAGTGGAGAAAGTAGATGGGGTTGACCAGAAACCCAAGTTAGAAGAAGTGCCGCCTTCAGAAGATCTGAAAGATAAAGAGAAGGTGATTATATTCGTGCAGTCCGTGTGTAGTCAATAATATAAGTTGTGATTTAGAGAGTCAACCCAATGCTTAATGATGGGGATCCCTCTTATTTTTCTACGCTATGCATTTCTTTTTTCAGAAATTAAGTAGAATTGTAATGTTTGATAAAAGGATTATTTTGATCGCAGAATACCAATTTCTTCTCACAGAAATTAAGTAGAATTGTAATGTTTGATAAAAGGATTATTTTGATCGCAGAATACCAATTTAACGCTCACGCTTTGTAGCAGATTCTGAATGGTGTGCGTCCTTATGACAAGGAAAGAGAAAACGACATGAGGAGGGAACATGAAAATCGAAGAGAACGAAGGTATGGTAATCATTTAGATAGGATTGTCAACTATATTTTACATTCTGTTGTCCCGTCGCTGTTCTTGACTCACTTTTGAAGTTGAGTGAGGCAACTTTCCCTGTATGTAGCTGCGCAGGATCTTGTCGAGTAATATTTTCATGAGTTATGCAATACTTTTCAACAAAGTGGTTAAGTCGATTCCATGTTTGCAGCCGTAGCCGGGAGAGAGCTCACCGTTCTCATGACCGGAGTCGAGACCGTGAGGCCGATAGAGAACGCGGGAGAGATGCGGACAATCATAGAGAATGGGGAGATAAGGAAAGACACGGAGATAGGGACAGGGACAGGGAACGAGATAGATATCGGGACAGAGATTGGCACAGAGATAGGGGAGAGAGGGAGAGAGACAGCTACAGGGGGAGGGAACGAGACAGAGACCGCGACCGAGGGGGACGACGTCGCAGTCGTAGTAGAGAAAGAGACCATAGACGGTGACAATCAGATGTATCTCACAAATCTCCTTACTTTGTTGACCTTGATCGTAATGTAGTGTAACTAAGTCCAATTTTTAACTGAGGGACTTGTAGACCTGGCATATGGACATTCTTTGTCACTCCGACACCTAAGAGCACGTTAGTATGTTACAATGGACAATAGACGCGTGACAATGTTTTCCTAGTTATGTACTTTGATGACATTATGAGTAAAATTGTCTCAGTACATCCTTGCCAACGTGCAAAGCGTCAAGACTTAGGGTGTTCACGTTGATTTCAGGATATAATCACCGGGCGTCTACTCTGCCCTTGGGTGCAAACATGACGCTTCTGCAAACTCATTGCACTTTCCGACCAAAATTAGACTAGGTCATGGGGATAAATCAGAGTCACATTGTTTCTTTGCTTAAGATATTGGCTATGTTTGTGCACAAAATGAAGTCTATCACTGAAAGCATTCATGGGCATTTTTATCCTACAGTATTCATTAGTATAATGTATGGTTATTCATTAGTAGCTCAGCGGTTAGAGCAAATGGCTGTTAACTATTGGATCTTTGGCTCGAATCCAACCTAGAGAGATCAAATCAGTAAAACGAAGTTAAAAAGAAGTAAAATCAGACTCCTTTTCTGTCTTACTAAGCACTATCACCTGATTCGAAAGAAATGTTTATTGTACTGGAAGTGACTGCCTTGAAACGGATGACATGAGTATGGTGAAGACTGAAAGGACTCTCATCGTGTAACCCATTGGTGCGATGGAGAATGCTTGAAGTTTGGTATCAACAAGCTCATCAGACGACCTATCTCGTACATGTGTTGCACCTGGATAAAAGTTGATAGAATACGAAGGACGGTAGAAGGGAAATGCCTGCACTTTGCCCAAGGGTATTGTCGCATGGAACAGGAGGTTTTCAAGGTGGAAACCATAGCACCTCATCATATCACATATAGAGCAGAAGGAAAGACGAATTGGCGAAAATTAGATCCCAAAGGGATGGACAGCCTTGAGAACATGACATGTGGATTGTTCTGACTGCTGTTATCAATGTCTGGAAGCGGGATAACAGGACCGGAAAGGGAAAGACGCTGTCTGTAGAGAAATGAGGGGCCCGGCAGTTGGATACAATCTAAGGCATTCCTACAATGTGTGTCGCATGTTTGTCAGTCATGTTTATCACATGTTCCAAAACATAGTGCTGAAAACTCGCAACCGCCTGATTCAAAGACTTTTTCTTTCAGTTGGACATACACCGATTCCAGATTGCATGTCGGTCCCTATTTGCAGCATGCACTCAGAATGTGGGGAGATTAGGAGATGAGAGGAGAGGGGGTTAGATGTTTGCCAAGGAGCCAGGCATTTTTTCAGCTGGCAGCAGATTTATTGACCAGATTCAAAGCAATAAGAAAAAGCCTTGGCCGCTTGGTGGCCAAGGCGTGCCATTGAGGCTGGACAGCTTAATAGATACTGGCACGGTAGTCAATCAGGGGACTCTGGACAGCTGAGAAACAAGTCAAGCCTTTTATTGCATGCATGGGCTTGCATCAGAAGTAATTACTTTCCAGTAATTACTTCTGACGATTAATTCTGATTAATTTGCATGACGATGACAAACCATGGCATCGGAAGTATGTGCATGCACCGTTTGGGCTCGTGATTACTGCACAGTGATGTCACCGATGATGAATGTGCTCCGATCTGCTACCGCAGCCTTAAACCGCATGCTGCGAAGGGTATGGAATGAGATACTGAAGCATGAGATACGCTTGACCCGCAGTGTCGTAGAAAAAGGCAGAAATACAGGCGATTCCAGGATCAAAGCAGAACGCTGTCGGTCCGCAACAATCATGGGCGATGGAAGTTCTCACGAAATCTGCCATTGAAGACGAGGCTCGGGGAATCCCGCTTGCACCATTCGTGCTTGGCTTTCTCCTTATCCTTCCTTGGCTTCCTCCACTCCCGGAGAATCTTTCTTGCAAATCCCAGCAACATCATTAGCAGTCAGATGACATGTCCAGAACCTACTCTTATCTTCATGGAACGTGGAGGGAAAGACACTGTCTCACATTCAAACCTCCGAGCAAGCTCCCAGCCATCTCCTCCGAATCAGTCGCCTTATATCGATTCATCTCCTTCCCTTGCGGCAAGCAAGCCTTTCACCCTCGTCCCTGATAGGAAAACAACGCAGTCAGTAAGTAAGTAAGTCACTTTTCTCCCACCAGGAGAATCGTCCACGTAGTGACCTACCTCCAGTTGCTGGCCTCCAAGTTCTCAGGCCCCACTGGGCTTCCCCAGATCCGTCAGTCATGACAGTGGTTTCTAATTGGGGCTGCCATATTTGCGCACAGAGTAGAAATAGAAGTTGTTCAACTCTTTGTTGCAAGGTTTATTGACTGCCGTCTGCCCAGTCGGTAGGGCAAGGCAGCAGCAGCAGGCAGGACAGCGCCTCCTCCTCCCGCGCATTAGTCTTACTCATCCAAGTTGGGGGATTGCCGTCAGCCCAGCATCCGACTTGTCAAGTCGCCATCGCCCACTGAGCTGAGGGCAAGAGAGAGGGAGAAGAGAACAGCGTGCGTCTGGGTGACAGTCAATTTGCCTTCTCGGGTCAATACCTGTTTGACTCACTGTAATGAGGCTGGCACTGAGCTGAGCTGAGCTGAGCTGAGCGAGTAATGCTCAGAGAAGACAGACTCCAGAGTGCAGCAGACCAGTTCTTCTACTGAAGACTGCACTGCAGCCCAAGGAAAAGCAGAAGCTGGAGGAGTACAAGAAGAAGAAGAGGAGCGATGTGCCACAATATTCCTGTAAGCTGCGGTAGCGGCACTGTAAACAGAAGTACTGCTGACTGTTAAAGATGGGGTAGTAGGGCTGGGGCCAAAGAAGTCTAAGAGTCGCCTTTCCAGTGGCGTGGACATCAATCCAGCTGAGAACCTCTGAGGATTTCAAATCGGTGATTTTGCCAACCCATAGATAGGCTTCCGAGTCCATTCGGACATGTGTCAGCCTCTTTTCTCTTGCGATCGATGCAGAACCTTTCTCCCTCGTACTTGTTCTTTCTAACGGTGTATGTTACGTATGTGCATGTTGTACAATCGAGATTCACACTTATATCCACGACTCAACAACTTTGACGAGACCTTGAGAACCATCTAACCCATTACAGATCTCGACTGGCTCCTTCCTTTCAAGAGGTGCATCCACTCTGCACGTGTTTGCTCTCCCTGCGAGCAGCGTCAGTCGAATATGCTGCCATGAGCATTATGTTCTTTCGAGCATTGGCAAGGAGTTGGCAACCATGGGCTTAGATCTTATCACATCTTTGTCTAAGCCATGGACCCACTGAACTCAACGAGAAAGTTCAACAAGGCAAACTTGTAACGACTGGAACTGGAACGCCTCATGACTCGCAGCTCACCCACATGTGGTTTGGACCACCAGAGGCAAACCGAAACGACGAGCAGTCACCTCGTGGCCACACCATGCACACACTGGGTCAATATCTCCCATTCAATATTCCTCAATTGTTGCTACTGTAACTGCTGCTGCGGGGGAGGGCAGGGGAGGGGCATTCCATGGTCGGTCACTGTCTAGGAAAGCGAAGTGCAAACGTTGCCTAAACGTCTGGGCACACCAAAAGAGAAAACTGAGGGAAAATGGACGAGCGTCAAACGTAAATGCTGTCGAGTCAAGATTTTCTCTCTCATACTTTGGAAGGAAGAGAGGGAGAGAGGGAGGGAGGGAGGTCTCGTAGCTGACAACTATTGCGTGGTGTGTACCTGATCATGTGCGAGGAGATTTAGGAAGCATGAGAGAGAATAATAGGAGAGTTTGGATATGGCGTGCAGAATTGAAAGGTCGAGAAGAGGGATAAGTTCAGAGTTGACACGGAGGGAGCGAGAGAAGGAGCGACCCCAAATAATTTGAAGCCCCCTTAGCTAGCACGTGCTGGCTAATCGCTGGCTCATGGAGTCAGGGAGAGCGGAGCAGCAGCCCAGGAAATCTAAGTAGGGATATATTCAGATATTAACACGGGTTAACATTGATGGAGCCGTGACTTGTGATAATGATTATGAGTTGAGTCTTTGGACCCCTGATCGAGGCGACGAGGACTGGCTCAGAGGTGACATGGAGGATGATCCACGAAGAAATAATGACACATTCATTGATAGTCACGCTGAACGCAGAAAGGATCCACCATGTTTCTCTCTAGGTCTAGCTAGCTAGATACATAACGGCAGCAGCAGCAGCATTTGGCATCGCGGGCTCTGCTGAATAGAGACAAATAGAGGAGGATAGAGATAGAGGAGGGCACATGAGTGGAGATGTGGAATGAAGAGAGTAACTGGTACGTTTCATTTCATTGGAAGGCAGGCAGAAATGGACTGTGAGAGAGAAATGGACTTACCAGGCCACAGGCCCCTGTAAGCAAGGGGTGAAAAAAATAGTATTCATCTCTGGACCAGGTCGGGAATAAGTCTGTCTCAGGTGTTTCAGATTCTTTCCTCTTTTGAGATGTTCAATTATGTGGGCGAGATCGTTGATCAGTAATACTCAGAGACTTTGGCTGTTAGCAGAATGAGGGAGGGAGGGAGGGAGGGAGGGAGAGAGAGAGAAGGAGAAAGAGAAAGAGACTCAGAGAGGACTCAGAGGAGTAACTCGGACGGCTCTCGCCCCGATGCAGATGCGGAGCAGTGTATGACAGCAATTCCAGATTGCATCAATGTTCGAATAAATGACCCATTCCAGACACAGAACAGGCGGGACGGACACAGAGAAAGCGTCGGAGAAGGAGAAAGCCTCGAGGGGTAATTATCCTCTCCCCCCCAAAACGCGCGCTCAGGTCTGCGAGTGAGTCGGTGGCCCGAGTCCTGCTTCATCGAGATCACAGCCCCTGGTCCCCGATACGGTCCTCCAATACAGTACAAAGAACAAGCGCACACCACTGGTCACTCACTCCTTCCTCATCAGCAGCAGTCCACCTCTTCCCATGATTCCATCGCCATCCGGCCTAATCTAATCCAGTCCTCAGCTTCAAGGGGTTCCCTGGACTCCAGCACGCTCGCCCTACCCCCGGCGGCTGGGGAATCGGCCATGGGAAATTACAGTTAGCACCAATCACACCGCCTCGTCCCTCGGGGGGAGAGAGAGAGAGAGAGAGAACAGGGACGGAGTCACGGAAGGATCAGAAGAGTCCTCCGGAAAAGCAATAGTGGTGAATGGCTGCACCTGGTGATGGTCTAGGAGGCATGGGGCTGGTCATTCAAAGTCTCTAGAAGAGGTACATACTGCCACCGGTACGATAAAGAGGTAGCAGCAGCAGCTCATCTGAGGAAACTAGAGACACTGACACAAACCTCGATACTCTATGCATCGTAGACTGGAATGCTCATCAACTGTATACAGACTGGACCGTCCAGGGTGCACCTCTACCTCTGCACAGTACCTGTAGCTACCCTCCCACTTTCGAAGTAGGTACGATGTGCTAGAGAGTCTAGTATTGCGTTCCTTCCCATAACAGTAGTCGTCCTCTGTTCCTCGTACCTTCCTTCTACGTCTTCTCTCTTTTCTTTTCCTTTCCTTTCCTTACAAGGGGGACGACCCTGTGGAGCATTTGGAAGCATCAGAAATCAGCGCAGGTTCAGGTGACTGAGATCTGCTCGCTATACACCGCAGGCAGTGTACGAAACTGGCCGTCTTATCTTCTGGCCCGCCATCTTCATTCACGGGGTCTCTCGGACTCGGAGGTTTGTGTGATTCTTGCAGCCTGCTCGCTCGCTCGCTAGCTAGGCTCTCTGATAGTCTCTCTGAGAGGCCCCGTGGCTTACTGGTAAACAGGCCTACGAGTCTAATCTCGGTGCCTCGAGCATCGGCCTCGTCTCGACTTCACTGAATGGATCGGGTGAGCGAGTGGATTGGATTCGTCCCACCTCGAAATTCATCCCCTCCCGCTGTTGTACCAGGGTCCAGAGACGAGACGAGACTAGACATCGTATCCAAAGGCCCAGGAGCCATCTCCCGCCTCGTCCTAGCTTCTTGCAGAGGGTTAGGAGCTCGATTGAATTCTGTGGCAGTGTAGGCCTGAGCTGAACGAGAGGAGGGATTCGTAGTGTTGCATGTCCTGGACACTGGACCTGCTAGCAGAAGTTGGGGAAGGAGAAGGAGAGGGAGAGGGCTGCGTCAATCTCTACTACTTGTCTACTGCAACACAAAATAAAGACGAACAATAATTGACATTAGAGGAGGATATGGAAGACACAAAAGCAGGAGCGAAAGAAAAGGCTGAAGGTAACGCCCGCAGCCTGCCTGCCGACTAAAGAGCAGGCACACACAGCTAGACGAATGTTCAAATCTCAATGCTACTCCATGTCCAACCACCGCCGCCGACGCCGCGTGCAATCGTACGAGAAACTACGTACTTTCCACACACACACTCTACGACTCCACGGATGGCATAGGATGATGCCACATCCAAGCCTCGACTCGACTGATCCTCGCGGCTGACGACGTGGAGACTGGAACCTGGAGCAGCAGCAGCTGCAGCTGCAGCCTCCCTCTCTTTTGCCCTTCTCTGCCTGAGTCTCCTGGCCTAGCTCTCGCACTCTCTCACAGGCTCTGACTGGCTCTGTCGTTGATATAAAATGGTGGAGGTGGAGGTGGACTCGACGAGGTAGGTGGTAGAGGAAGGTCGATCTGTCTCCCTTGCTCCATTTTCCTTGCTCCTGTTGCAAGGCCTTGCCTTGCCATGGCTGCTCCGCCCAGCGCTAAAGTTTTTATGTACGATTTTTGGTGGCGAAGTTCAGCGTCACCGAGCTCTATAGTGGACAACATGCCCTTTTCTCGCTCACTCGCTGGCTGCTTATTAGCCAGCGCTGACTTGTCACTAAAAACAACTTCCGAAGCCTGGTCTGAAGGTCTGGGGGTCTGAGGGTCTGAGCTCACCAGCCTTCGAATTGGGAATAGGTCTAGATAGCGCATCCGCCTGCCTGCCTGCCTTACAGAAGCTGATAAATCTGAGAAGGTCGCGTGCGTTTTGGAGACTCGGACGTCGATCCCAACACCGATCTGCTCTGGTCAGATCGAGGACCAGTGTACCGATCGAGCTACGAGTCCTTCCTCCTCCCTCCCTCCCTCCCTCCCTCCCTCCCTCGCCATGGGAGATGGAGCTCCTGACTTCTGGGAGTTCTCCCCCATTGTACTCTTTCCTCCTCCTTCTGTGCCCTTTGCAGTGCGAGGCACGCCTGCTGCAGCTGCAGCTGCTGGCGCTGGCGCCTTGGGCAGTGGCTCACTTCTCTCAGACCCAGTTCAGCATCAGCTCACTCACCTTCAGTGAGTTCATAGTCTGATCGAGCTGCACCATTTCAGAGGCAGGTTGATTTGTTGGTCCTTCTTACTCGGAAGGAAGGGAAACATGAGTCCCCCTGGGGTCTGGGCTGACGACAAATGTCGCATCGAGATCGAGACTGCCCTCGGAGAGGCTCGATCTGACGACCACCAATGTGTCTGTCTGGTAACTTGTAAACTTGAAGTTAGTCGTGTCATCCATGGGAGAGCTTGCTTGCTTGCCAGCCAGCCTAGACACCTCACTCGCTGTCATGTTGCACATCCATCCAGCCTGATCAGAACCAACTGCGACAATCCACAATCACATGCCCATCGAAGTGCTCGCAGCTTGGCTGTTTGTCTGGCTGCTGCGGACAAGAGTGTGCACGCTCTCTCGCACACATGCATGCGATTGCATGTGACACTAAAAGCGATCGAGCTGTTTTGTAATAGCAGACCCAGAGAAATCGGTCGTCCGAGGTGCTGCTGTTGTTCTCTGAGAGCCTCTTAATGAAAGGGGACTTGCACTGGTCACTTCGATTAGGAGCGGAAGCGAACGTAATCAATGCAATCTTTGAAAGACGAAGTACACGAGACCAGATCGATTATTTGGCTGACCATTCACCGTGGGCAGAGAGAATTCTATTTATGAGACCGGCCGATGCGTTGCCATAGTTTCTGCTGGATCGACACTGTTGAATCAATGCACTGGCAGGATCGAAATCATGCACGTCTGACACCCAGAGTCAATCATCAAATCTGCAAAAACGAGCGCACGCCACTTGATCGATATGCCCTGGCGTCCTTGACGGCTCAATGTTCAGACCACAAACACTCAAGGCACCCGACATTGTTCACAAGATCGAGAGAGAGAGAAACACATCACAAATGAGGAATTGGGTCGGTGAGCTTGATCACGTGCGTAGATGCAACGCGTTACACTGCATTGCATTGCCTGCATAGCATCTACAAATGCCTGTAGTGGGGATCAGCCTTCGTCTACATCCGGCATTTCCCGCAGATTCATGCTCCTATGAGAAGATTCAAGTCCTATTTTTACAACTATCTAAAACTACTTGTTCTTCAATCACAGGGTCGAAATCCAGTTTCCTGTGTCTACTCCAACCGCTCTTGGATGCATTCGGTCAGTCAGTGATCGATTTCCCAATGTCCACTCCTCGTCCTCGTCCTATCGCTTTGAACATTGAACTACTTCTAACACTACTTCTTGCGCTCGTGTGTCCGAGTTTCTCTCTATAGCGCAGAGTCGGGAAGCGTCAAATTCTGCAACGCTGTTTGCAGAGCTTCCTTCGGAAAGTCGCAGCCAGGTTCAGGAGTCTGCACAACGAACGAACCGAGAAATCAGAACTCGCACTCTCATTTGAGCTCGAGGGCACTGCAGCAGCCGATGCAGCAGTGGCGAACATGTGGTCTGCCATATATTATCATCCTCGCACTGGCATCGATAGAAACTCAATCACGATGTCTCTCGACACGAACGACGGCGACCATGGCGACAGTCGAATCGTCTCGGAGTCTCCGACCTGCTCACTCGCTCCATGTGCCGTGTCGAGAGATGGCTATAGCTACCAGAAGCCCTTCAGTCCCTTCGGTCCATGGCTCTGAGCCTTCTGAGACGAAGAACGGACCAGCTCTAGATTTATGGAACATTCGATGTCACTGCCAGTCGAAGAAAGAACACAATTGTGGACGCAGAGAAGCGAGAGATGGACGAGAGATCGAATGCAGACGAAGACGAAGATGGAGGTGGGGAGGGGAGGGGAGGCGTACCATGACGTGCAGGCAGTGGAAGACAGTGGCATTGCTGGTGCTGATGTGCGCGTTGAGGACGGCGAGCTTGTGCGACTGCATGATGAGCAGGATGCGGCAGAAGAGGCCGCGCTTCTTGGGGCTGCTCATGGTGATGAAGGCGTTGTTGCCGCTGATGTGCAGCGCCACATTCGGCAGCACGAACGACTGCAGGCAGCACTCGTTGTTGGCGGCGGCCACCAGGCTCAGCGGCACAGCCACGCCCACGCCCACGCTCGTGGCGATGCCGCTCGTCGGCGAGTTCAAGCCGCCCACCATCGTCACGTCCATCGACTTGCGCCGCAGAATCTCCGCCCGCTTCTTCTGCAGCTCGTCCAGCTTCACCTGCAGCCCTTGAATGTACTTGATGATCTCCGACACCACCGTCGACTTATCCGTCTGCGCGCACACACACCACCAGCCACGCACCAACGCAAACATCCCGGTCAGCTTCCATCAATCGATCATGCCACTCGATCGAGTCCCCGCATTCAATCAATCATCACCCGGAATCCCATCCTCACATCCGTCCCCATCGCCTCCAGGCAGCGAATTCCGCACGGGGCGTCATGCAATCGTCTGCGCTTCTACGTGCGCAGCTGGAGCTCGACGCATTTCCTCAAATTTCAGCTTAAAATCAATCAACCACTAAATCAATCAATCAATCAATTAATCAATCAATCGATCGATCTCAGTCGTGCAGCAGAGTACGAGGACGGTGGCGGTGGTGGCAGCGGGAGGGCCTTGCAGTCCTGCGTTCTTTCTTCTGAAGTTAAGCTCCTGAATGGAAAGTGAGTCTGATTTTCCAGCTGCGGAGTCAGATCCATCGCCGCTACCTCACAGCGTCAGCAGCAGCAGCAGCAGATGGTTTGCAAGATCCTCCCGGACCGATAGGAAGGGACGAAGGAAGGGCCCATGCATGCCATGGGCGCCATATCAGGCCTGGCCCACATCGGACATCCGGCACAAGGCCTTTTTCTCGAGAGAAGAGGAGGGGGCCAGCCGAGGACATGCCGAGGATCGGGGCGTACACGCAAACAGTCACAGATGATGATGATAATGAAGAAATTGAGACCGGGCGGCTCGAACGAAGCGAGCGAGCGAGCAAGGCGGGCCTGGGCTTCGACAGACATCGAGACGCACGGAGTAGCATCCGCCATGTCTCCACACCAGACGAACAGCACGTGAAGAAACATCAGTTCTGAGCCGAGGTGCTAACGATGACGATGACGACGACGACGCCGCCTGCTCCACAGACAGAGGTCAGTGGTGTCTGCAAAAGCTGCGAACGCGCTCTCGGAAGCTTGGAAGCTCGGGAGGGAGGGTGCAGCAGGAGGCGGTAAATAGAAGAGAATTTGGCGTCTGGTCTGAAAAGGCGCAGTCAACTTGAACAGTGGAGATGGAGGCTGTGGCTGGCAAGAGGGTAGGCTGCGAGGCTGCGAGGGAGGCTCGTGAGGGCATTTTTAATAATAATGTAATTCTCAGCGACTGTGCGTTTGACCCGTACAGTGCTGGTCTCGCGGCATAAGTGAGAAAATACCGCGGGCCAAAGCGCCACGAGAATGAATTTCCCTGACCCATAAATTAATTGCGCTCCCCGCCGCTGCCTAATCCCGGCCCGCCTCGAGCACTTTGGCGAGATTCACGGTCCTCGATTCCTGCGTCCAGAATCATCATCCTCCCAAATCCTCCCCTCATTCACATTCACAGACTCCGTGTTCTAGAGCTGTACTGAATATTACGATCATTGTCATCGACCCGAAATCACTGACGCCATGCCATGCTTGCTACTGGCAGCTGGGCGAGCGAGTGAGCGAGTGAGCGAGCTAGCGCTACTGCTGCCGAGGATGGTGATGATTATGAGGAGGAGGAGGAGGAGGAGGCGAGTGCTTACCTTGGAGGTGGGCTGCGGCAGCAGCGATCTGAGCGTCGAGAACAAGTGGTTCATGCCCTTGCGCCGTTGGCGCTCGGACCAGATGTGGGACTCGCGCTGGCTCACGGCGCGCTTGCCTTGCCATTTTTTCTGCACGCAGAGGGCTTTCTCGGTGTGCTCGGAGTTGTAGGCGAATCTGCGCTGCTGTTGATGTTGTTGATGTTGATGTTGTTGGTGCTGCTGCTGGTGATGCGCTGGGTGTTGGGGAGTGGTGGCGGGGGAGCAGCGCTCGCGGCCGTCGAGTCTGAGAGGGCTGGTATCGGTGGTGGGCGAGGGCTCGGCCGAGGTCGAGAAGCCACCATTCGCCAGGAACTTGGGGATGGCGATGTGCGGCGACTGGACACTGCGCACGCCGCTGCACCACGATTGCAGATCGAAGCTCTGCGACGATGGCTCGGCGGGCGGCCCGAAGAGCGAGCTCGTGCTCGTACTGCCCTTCTGGTCGTGGTGCATGTCGGCATGCGCAGCCGGGTGGATGATGGTGCTCGAGATCAATGATTGCGTCGGGTATGGCAGACTCAGCTCCGAGGGTTTTGCCTCGTGCGCCTCCACGGACCCGGGCCACGTCCAATCTTGCAGCTCTCCCAGTTGCAGGATGGTCTCCACATCCACCTCCTCCACATTGGCCGGGTTCAGCACCGCCCCGCTGCTCGTCGAATGCTGCTGCGCATGCGCATGCGCCTGCTGCTGCTGCTGCTGCAGCAATGGCGTCGCCAACACCGGCGACGGGTCGTCCTTCACGGGCTGAAACGTCGATGTACACGAATCCACCTGATAAGCTCGATGAATGTCGAAGTTGTTGTGGTGGATCATCGATGATCTCGCGAACGAAAATGGGTGCAGATGAACCGGCCCCATCCCCAGCCCAGAGCGACAATGTGAAGGCATTGCGCCTCTCACCTCCTCGATTTCGACCTACGCTAGCTCAGCTCTCCCTATCTCTCCCTCCCTCGCTCTCGATTGTAGCGAGAGCTTCGCCTCGAACGAAATCTCTAGCTCCAGTTGCAGCAGCAGCAGGCGAAATCTCAGACTCTCGACGAGCTCGTGTGCACTATCGTTCATGGGCTAATAACAATTGGCCGCCGCCGCTTCGAGAGAATCACGGCTCGATTCAAGAAGCAGCAGCAGCATGATGAAACTGTGGCCGAAATGTGATCCTTCCCTGGCTCGTAACCACTCTCACCACTGTCGGAAACAGCGAGGGCTTTATTGTCGTGCTTTGCACTTCATGGCCCGCCCGCCCTCCTGGCAATTGCTGCAAATTCCCACCGCGCGCGGCACTCGATGCTGGAACGAGAACCTCCTCCCTTCCTTCCCTCCCTTTCTGTAGCTCGGCTGCTGCTCTCACGAACCTCCTGGACGACCGCAAGCCCGCATATTGTTGCCAGGCAGGAGCAAGAACCAGCCCATTCCTTCCCGAACGAACCAGACCGCTGAATTTCAGCACACGAATCCCCGATGCAAGAGCGCTCGCTTGCTCCTCTGGTGGACTGAACTGCGTGGATCGTTGCCAGAAGCACAACAGCTCGCTCGGGTTCTGAATCGACTGACGAGACGAATGAAGCGCAGGCCGAGCTCGAATGATTGACACCTGAGAACCTCTCGACTATATGTCTCTATGAGAGAGAAAGAGAGAGAGAGAGAGAGAGGGCCAAAGCACCTTGAGATTCTCGCTGACGAAGGAGAAGAAGACTGACTCTCAGAGAGAGAGAGAGAGAGAGAGAGCTCGCAAAACAAGGGAGTGACTCTTCTACATTTTGCGCCTTGAGGCTATAAGGAAATTTGGACGGACCGGAATGGGGATCCGGGCTTCAAAGAACAGCGTGCTGAGAGCTGATGAGCCCATGCAGCAGCAGCAGCATATACATTCCGAGTGAACAGGACGATGACACTACGTCACAAAGTTGCAAGTCTTGGCGTGCGGTCCCGGCCTTCCAGCTAATCTTGTCCCTTTGACGAAAATACCATAAAATAGACTTCACTCGCGGCTCGAATTTCCCTCTGATACTGTAGTAGTCTCGTCCAAAGCAGTTCGACCACAGCAGCAGCAACTCGGCAACCAGGCCTGCCTTCTCTTCTCTACTCTTCACTTTCAGCTGGTGGACTGGTGTGGCGGGCGAGTAAAATGTGTGGCGAGTCGCTCTCTTTCTCTCGCGCTCGGTCTCGGTCTCGGTCTCTCTCTCTCTCGAAGGGTCGCCGGCTCTCGAGAAGTACGAGTAGGAAGCACGGGTACTCAAAGCAGCGCAAAAGGTTTCGGAATCCAAGGACTTCGCCTTTCTCGACACTCGTGTCTGTCGCGATTATCTTAGAGAGGAATTCGTTTACACACTCTCGCTGATACTGTGGCCTCCTCTGAAGCCGCCGCAAGTGCAGTCAGAAACACGGATCGCAGTTGCGTCTGCTGAATCGGGCGAGAGCTTAAGCGCTCGCTCGCTCTCTCGCTCTCTCTCCAGCTGCCTCTGTCCTCCGACTAGAGTGATGAGAGAATCTGTAGGTAACTATGTGAAGGAAAAAAACATGCACTCACTCACTGCGACGGGACGGGACGGCAATATTCTTTTGCGCATCGAGATATCAAAAGGCGCTTCCGAGGAAGATTCACAGAGCACGAAATACATGTCCTGGAACGTATGCTGTAAGCAAGCCCCACGCACGCCCAATCATAGGCACCGAGAGAGGGAGAGAGAGAGAGAGAAGGAGAGAGAAAGAGAAGGAAGGGAAATTATTTGGCGCCGGGTGTTAGGTCTGGAGAGAGGAGAGAAGCGCAGACGGGCGAACCGTTACGACTCAATTGAGCATGCGGCTTGCTGCTGCTACACAATCCCTCGTTCACATCTCCATCTCCAGGTAAAACGAGGCTCGTCCAGAAAAAACCATGTGACAGTGAGTGAGTCAGTAAGTAAGTCAGCCACCGAGGACACACAGATCAGCACGAAGCAGCAGCGGAGGGAGGGACGGAGGGAGGGAAGGAGGAGGCGCTGGTGGTGGTGGTGGTGGTGGTGGTGATGGTAGTGAACTGAGGAAAGGAGAAGCAGCAGCAGATGACAAAGCTTTAAGGCGACAGCGGATGTGACCCTGATTGCTCGTCGACTGATCTGAATCCTGAGCCGAGCCGCGACTCCACGGGTCTATCAATTGAACAGTGTAGACGGACGCCCCCCGTGAGTCCCAGGAGATTAAGAGACACTAGACTAGAAGCAGAAGCCGCAGCAGCAGCAGCAGCAGCAGCACCCGAGGCAGAAACCGAACGTTTGCTTCCTGCGAGAAGAAAAGGAGAGGTCGAGCCAGTTTGTAGGTACATATAAGCTCAGACTAGCTAGCCAGCCAGTTAGCTATCTAGCTGAGAGCTTCAGCCGAGCCGAGCCAAGCCAGCGTTGAGATGAACAGGCACCTGATGATAACCCCAAGCTACACCCTGCACTCATCAGAGCAAATGCACAAGTGGAACCGAGCCATCTTTTCTTCTATCCGAGTATGCATATTCTGCGCCAACAATCTGCAGCAGCTGCAAATGCTCGAGCCTCTTCTTGTGGGAGGAGGACGAGGCTGTGTGGGTCCCCTGCGGTGTCCTCGTCCTCGTCCTCGTCCTCTAGGCCACAGCCAGCCGTGGCCGTGAAACAGGTCCTCTCCTCTCCTCGTCCCGGGTCTCAGGCCGGTACCTCTCTCTCTCCAGGAAGTCTGAGCTTTTGCTCGAGACTGACTCTTGGCGAATCTCTGCCTAAGTCGCCCTGTCCCCCTCTCTCTGTCGTTATGCCTGCAGTAGCAGCAGCAGCAGCCAGATTAAGAGCGAGAGCGAGCGGATTTCCCCTCTATATTTACCGTTTTGCCCCCTGATCCCAGCGAGAAGACCTCGGTCTCCAGGCCCCCAAGCCTGCCCCAAAGGAGTGGGTGCGGCTTGAGTTATTGATCTTTCCTGTCCGAACACACTCCTCCACCGCCACCTCCACCTCCGACTCCTTCGACACCACCCTCTCCCCCAGTCCTGACATTTTATCTCCAGGTGAGTATCTCCATATCAGCAGCTATTCTGTACAGCATTCAGTGGTGGCGCCATCCCATCCCCTCCCCTCCCCTCCCCTCCCGCTTTCTTCTGCCGTCACCTTTCTCCGCCCGTAAGGTCCGATAACTCTAGCCCTCCCTCCCTCTCTCCCTCCCTCGCCTCATCTTCAGACATCACCGACATTTCAGATGTTGCCAGAGCAGAGTAGAGGGGAGTAGAGCAGTAGAGTAGAGCCATAGAGTAGAGTAGAGTAGATTAGAGCAGAGCAGAGGCAGAGGCAGAGTCCAGTCGCGTCGGAGCTCTGCGCGACTTCCGCCATCTTCACCTCCTTCATTCTCGCAGAGCAGGCTGCTGCTGCTGCTGCTGCTGCACACATCAGCGGCAGAGGAGGAGGCCGAAGCAGCAGCAGCAGCAGCTTGTTATTCTGTATCATGATCATATGATCTCACCGGAGTCCTCGTACTTGTCCTTATTCGCTTTTCAACGCATCATCCGTTTGAACTCGGGTCCGTCTTTTTCCTTTCCATAGTTCCTCAGGTCCTCCCTTCCAACGGTAAAGGTCGACTCGCATCGAGTGCCCGCATGAGGTCATTTCCATTTTGTCCATTTGTGTCAGAGTTGCTGCTGCGGCGTACACTATTCAGTCGAATGAATAAATGAATGTACACGACGCCGAGACAGCATGGATCATTGACATTGGAAATTGGAAATTTAGCCCAAATGCATGCGGCCGACATTTTAGTTCCAGCCAGTTCTGCAGCAACCGTCTGGCCACCGGGAAATTCGTCTCACTGCAGTGCAGCTCCCCGAAGGAAGGAAGGAAGGAAGGAAGGAAGCGATCCCCTTGATACCTCCGTTGAATTAATTAATGTATTCGGTTGAGTAAGCTGCACTCTGCAAGGGCCGGAATCAAATAAATCCCAAACAGCGACTGTACCTTGATACGGTACCTTCTTCTTATGCCACTTCCATTTCCAGATGTTTCTCTGAGCTGCACCACTAAATTCCAGTACAGACGGCCACTGTAGTAACTGTACTGATTTGCTTCTTACATTTGCGTCTCACGATCCCATATCATTTCATCTGTAGTGTATGACAACCCCGTGCTAATTTGAATCTCGATGTTTCAACTATGGGACCATTAATGTAATGATGGGAGGTGACCATTTTATGATAGTGATCTATCTAACCTGACTTATGACCTTCCAGTATCTCAAATATCAGCATTCGCTCGCTTATCCATCCCCAAGCTTATCGAAGCAAGCGGACATATCTGGAATGACACATGATTTAGACTACTATAGTTTATTATTGTCATTTCTAGAATAACCAGGTCTGCCGGTTGTGGTGGCTACCGACTAGACTTTCCATTGATGCTGGGTCTATTAGTCCTCCCGTGTTGTGCCTAATCATCACATTCCCCTAAACAATTGGGTTTGGTACGGCTAATCATTTCTGCAGGACTAGACTAGCAAATCGAAGTAGGCCCTCATGGCCTAATTCCTTCCTTCGCGTATCATCAGATCTCAGCGTGACGAGACGAGACTAGATTAGATTAGATGAGTTCGTTGCTCCTATGGAAACAGGGTGTCTTCCATACACTACTCCTCCCTCCCTCCCTCCCTCCCTCCCTCGCTGAACCAGGAAACCACAACGTTATGATCGAAGGTGCGCGAAATCTCACTGTTTCGAAGATCTGATGGCAATTGTTTATGAGTATACTAACCTCCCCACGCAGCCGTCGAAGCGTGAGTTTCTTGAGGATAACTCATCTCGTCTTGGGAAGTTGACACCACGCTTGAGAGTTATAGATCCAGCTGGTGCAATCGATTGACGCCCATCGCAAACCTCAATTATTTTTCCATTGCAAGTACCGTAGTGAATCGTTATAAACCACCCGAGCATGGTTTGCGAAGCTGTTGTCGCGCTCGATTATCATGTGTCACCCTCTAGCCGTTATGTCAACCCCTCCCCTCCCCTCCCCCCTCCTCCTCCTCTTGGGCAGCCTTCCCCCCCACAGAGTGAGTGAGACTTGTGAGTACGGAGTTTTTCTTCGAAAGGCCGCCCGATTGAGATTGACATGCGTCGGGGTTTGGTAACAAATGCGCGGATTTATAAACGTACTTTCTTTCAGCAGGTGCTGTGACCGAGTACGAGAAGGTGACAGGACTCACACCATTACTTTTAGAAATGTCTCCTTAGGTCCCAGCATGTACAATCCTCGAAATGGACATAATTGCCCCATTGAAGCCCCCTCATGTGAGCTACACAAATCATCATACATTCATTCGAACTATGCTTCGCTCCGCATGAATTTATATGTCCCTTGAATATGCATCTGAATCTGAACTTCCGCGAACTTCATCGCTTATATTCTCACTCTCCTGCTCATCCATCAATCATTGTTCGGCCTCCTATTATTTCTCTTGCCAAGGTTCCCAAGCCATGGTTCAGACCATTTTACACCTGCTCCGACAGGCGCACCGCCTCCCTCCCATTTCTGTGTGCGTTTCGACTTTCCTTCCGCATATAGACGAGCTCACCTCCTCCAGATTCAACTCTCGGCTCTTCGTTCTCTACTTGACTTTCTATTTTCGTTCCATCTGCAGCAACGGTAGTTGTGATTTCTGGCTCCAGTGGCGAAATTCTGAAAACGCCTGTTGACATTACAATCTGGTTTGATAATCTACGATCCCTTCCATTTGTATTTCTCAAGGGTCATTGCTCCATATCCTCAGGCGTACTTACTTGCTTCTGGACAAACATTTGTTCGTATCAAACTCAGCAAGTGTCAAAAGCAACGGATTTAAGTTCGAGTTACAAAAGGGTTTGGAAATGCAAGCTGTCTGGACAGAAGTAGATGGAATCTGCGCACCAGATTAACCGATAATGGTTTGGCCTGACTGATTTAAGGTGGATCGTTTACTCCAAACAGCCTGATCAACGATTTGGTAATCAATCTTGCAAATATCGATCGCTTCTCTTTTTTAAGGATGGAGAAGCCTAATTGGAAACCATCTAAAAAGATTCTCATCTCAAACTCTCGTGAATGTACCTCCATGACCACAACATCACTTCTGAAAATTATTTTCCACTATCCCATTTCAACTGCCGCCAAACTGGAGAACCATCTGCGTCCCCATCTTTCCGAAGTGCTCAGCCAACATGATGTGGATCCCTGTTATCCAGGAATATAGCAGTACTGTACTCTAGGTTGGCTAGCAGTAGATGCCGACCCTCGACTCGAAGGCCTCGGTGAGCCTGTAATTATTTGACGATGAACTCTATGACTCTAATCAACACCAATACTGTACTAAATTTCGGATTGTGACTACGAAAACTGTCCATCCCAAGTGAGTGCCTTTCCTTATCGTGTACCCTGTGTCTCTCGTACAATTTTATAAAATTGTAAATGATCTAGCTCGGAATTATGCTACATCATTTACAATTTTATAAAACTTTAAAACATTTCAACAATTTTATAAAACTTGGAACATCATTTACATCAATTCCAACGAACATGCTTAGAGTGAAAGTTGAAGTTTTTACTTTATGAGATGATTATATAATCTCTATGGGGAAGAAGACCGAACATAGAAACATTTTATCTTTGTTTAAGTTGTATTTGAGGACCATCATTTATAAAATTTATGAATGGTATAAATTGAACAGTCTCAGACATAAGAGCTAGACGAGTGTTGTTGTGTGATCCTCAACATGCACAAGGCCGTTCTAGGCCGAGGAAAAGTATGAAAACGCCATCATGCGGGCGTTTGGTGTTTTAATGTCGCAATTTATCGACACAGAAAAAAGATTTGTTCTGATTTCTTTAGCTGAAAATACTTATAAAAGGGAAAAAGGAGGTCGGCATAAGGCAACCCAACCGGCTTAGATTGGGCCAGCTTACAGCTAACGACGGCCTGCTGGCTGACGCCATCATTGGGGCATTCATGGCCTCGTCCACCTTCGATCGCCGGTGCCGTCCGAGCCCTCTGTCGGTACCCGGTGGTCTCAACAGACACATCGGTCTGCTCGTAACGTCCCCCATGCTTGGGGTGGCCCCTCGTATCATGAGTAATTATACGCCCACCCTCAGCCCCACTCTCTCTCATACTCTCACTCACTCGATCCCATGTCATCCCATGCCCACATCTTCGGAAGATCTAAGCAAATCCAGAGCCTAAAGGCAAATTCCACCTGCCGGGCCCCTCACTCCACCTCCCTCTCTTCCTCCCTCCATAGCCAGCTCCACCCTTTCGCCAGATTCGCCACCTTTGTTCCCTTTGTTGCTGCTGCTGGCTGATGCTGCTGGCTGCTGCTCCTGCTGCTGCTGCTGCTCCCCTAGATGTCTCCGCTTGTCTGTTGCCTGAGCTGCCGTCTTCCTCCCGACAACCATCCCCGTTCTGTAACCCACTTCCCCAACCCCGT